TGGCACATCTAGGAGCTAATTTTTAAAGCGAAAAGCACTTCGGCGGGCTAAAGTGCAGCAATTTCCTTCCAAACCGCACGGCCTATTAGCATTCCCCAAACGGAGGAGCGAGGAAATCGCCCGCCTCAAAAATGCAGCTGCTCCTGGGGCGGAGCGTGACCACGGCAGGGGCCAGGGCGGCCAGCGCTTCCTCCCTTAGCCTCGGGCTCCTCTGTTAGCCCTTTGCAGCTGCCATGGCACCAATGACAGCTGGATGCTGGTGGCCACCGGAGACCTTGACCCCACAGAGGGGCCGAGAAGACACTTGGGCACTTTTGGTCCTTGGAGATGTCCTTGCATGTGCCAGGAGCCCATATTCATCCCTGCATCAGAGCCGCATGTGTCCTGTGCTGCTTTYGGCCCTGCGTGCAGCCGCATTTGGCCCCTTCCTTCATCATTTCAAGCTGGGGACAGCGAGGATGAGAGATGGAAGGGGGGCAGGTGGGAGCCGGGAGAGAAATCCCCGCCGGCGGCCCCTCTGGCAGCTTGCCGGGAGCGCGGGGGTCATGCTGAATATGCATAAAAGGGAGCAGATTGCAGCTGCCCTCCTTGCCGATGCAGAGGTGAGGCCCGCCGAGAGYGCCGGCCCCGGCTCCCTTTCAGTGGGATAATGGGGCGAGCGGAGCGCGGAGCGTGCGTGCCTGTGTGTGGTCTGGCCCGTGATAATGTTTTCCATTCCCGCGATGCCTCCGCAGCGCTCGATACGCGGCTTGGCGGGCGCCGCAGCGCCGGCCTCGCGCGAGAGCCCTGAAGGTGAGGCTGGAGGCGTGGGGAGGCCGTGGCCAGGCCCCGCCATGGCCGGGCTCCTGGGAGAGCCAGGAGCCAGCGAGGGAGCCCGGGCTCTGCCTCTCAGAGCCGCCACAGGGGAGGAAGGCCCAGGGCGCTCCCCACGCTGCTCTTCGGTGTGAGGAGGTCAGGCCGTGGCTGGGCTGGGGAAGAAGGGACCTGCTTGGAGGCAACGGAGCTGTGGCCAGCTCTGGCTGGTGCTGGCCTAGCAGCAGAGTCCAGGCTTACTCCTGCAGCTTCTGCTGACAAAGCCTAGCTGATGGTGATTTATTTATTTATTTATTTTTGCATCTTTAGAGCTCCCCTTCATTTCTAGTTGTTTCACACTGCACCTTTGGACACAAGGTGCCCTCCTGCCTGGCTGTGTGCAGTGGGGCCAGTGGGACAGCCAGAGGCATCACGGGGCTGCACTGAGCRTCCGCTGATGCGCCTCACGTCTCCTAGGGCACTGCCAAGGGGTCCAGAGCCCATTGCAGGCTGCTGTGCCAGCAGCCCAGTCAGGGCGACAGAGCTGGGACCTCGGGTGCTCTAGGGGACCTCGGTCTCTGACCTCGACTCTGTCCTCGAGGAGTTTGCCACGTGGCGGCTGCAAAGGGACAGGGGGAAGGGGACATGTGCAGCAAAGGGCATAGACCTGTAGGAAGGCAGGTTTGCTAGCTCTGCCATGACATAATGGGCCTTGAAATTAGGTCTCTCCTGTTGGGAGAGCAGGTTTAAGGTCACAGGAACATCAGGATCTGTGCAGTCTGGTTGTGTTTGTGCAGTCTGTCCCATGGGGGCTGTGCGATCCATCCTGCCAGGTTGTGCTGTCTGTCCTGTTGGGTCTCTGCAGTCCATCCTTCCCACTGGGTCTGCGCAGTCCATCCATTAGGATTCAGCACTGATCTGTGCTCTCTTGCTGGACAGTTCCCAGCTTGCTGGACAGACCGAAGTTGGCAGCATCCGCCCTCCCCAGCACCGGCAGCCTGGATGCTCAGCCAGGACGTGGCCACGTGGCCACCTCCCCCTCGCACTCCTCTTCCCACTCGGGAGGCAGCTGCCAGCCAGTGGGGCAGCTCTTTATAGCTCCGTGTTGGAAAGGGGGCTTGGAAGAACGTTGATAATTTGCCAAGGACTAATGTCAAGCACTTGCTGGGAGAGAAGAAAGAAGGGGTGTTTGCATGGTCAGCTTGGGCTCAGTGCAGAAGCAGTTGGCCACGCAGGGAGCACTACCTCTCCAGCATGTTTCTTCAGCTGCCTCCATGRTCCCCATGCAAACAGGGGTGGACAAGAGATACCCAGCTGTAAGCCCAGAGCGACCAGGAGCACTGTGTCATGTGCCTGCCCTGGCCCTTTCCCGGAGGCATGGATGGTTCTTCACCAGCTGTGTGATCCCGCTTGGATCTCAGTGGGATCAAGCTGGACCTTGCAGCCCTGCTCTTGCCACATAAAACATCAAGAACCTTGCCATTTGAACCTGCAAGGGAGCATTGGTTTGGTTTTCCTTATTGGAAAGGTTTCGTTCTTCAGGAGAGATGCTCTCCCTTCGTATATGATGCAGCAAAGGGTGGCTGATGAGGTCCTCATTCTCTGGCCACCATAAGGTTGAAGGAGTTGCATCAGTGGGGCTGAACAGGCCAGCCCTGGTGAACACAGTGATCCTGCCAGTGCAGGAGCTACTGGTGGGTCGTTCAGAGATGGGGTGATAGYACCTCAGCAGACATTCACCACAGTCTGCCTGAGAAGAGGTTGCATGAGACACATGTCCTCCAGCTCCAGCCACTGGCCAGGGCTGGCACTCCCTGGCATGACGGTGCTCGCTCCAAGCCTGACAGAGCGTCTCTATCTCTCCACCACAGTGACTGGCATGTCCCCACACTCTTTCTTGGAGGGTGAAGACAGCGCCTGACCTGCAGGAACCTGTCTTCTCCCTCCAGTCTTTGCGCATGGTCTTGGGCAAGTGGTTTAAAACTGGCCTGTTTCCATCTCTGCTTCTGCAACACTTGTCTGCCCACTACACTGCACTGGAGTACGGGGTTCCTGGTGTTCTGAGGGTCTAAGGGGTCTCCCCCAAAAGCCCTTCAGGACTGCTAGATGGGACAGGATATACCTACTAGGGAGAAGGCCACCAAGGGAGCGCCTGAGGGAGCAAGTAAATGGTAGAGATGTGGTGGGATCGGGAATTCTTCTGGGGGATATATCTAGGGGAGGGATGAGATCCCCTTCCTTCCTCTGCCTTGGCTTGCCCGCAGTCATCAGCTCTGCTTTTCCAGAGGAGCTGGCAGCACGGCTGTGCTTGGCTGGAAAAGGAGGAGCTTCCCGCCCCATTAGTGGTTTGGCAGTAAGGAAAGAGCAAGCTTTCTTCCAAAGCGACGGCTCTTTCTTTTATTTTTTTTTATTTTTTTTTTATTTTTTATTTTTTTTTCTCAAAAAGGAAAAAATCCCAGATCATTTCACTGTTCCCCGCCTGCCTCCTTCAGAAGGAGCAGACGACCGGATAGCCAGGAGCAGTGTTGGGGGCAGGGGGCTATAAATTAGTAGCAGAGGATTTGCCACATTGAGTCGTGCCTCTAGCGTTGGCCAAGGCTTCATTCCTGAGAGCAAAGCGCAAAACCCAAGTCATCCTGCAATGATTTACTGGTGGGAGAAGGGATGGTGCGGAGCGGGGGAGGACCTCTTCCTCCTTCCCTTGCTGCAGCAAGGGGCTGGTCCTCTTGAGAAAAGGCCAGAAAGTCTTGGCTTTGCAGGTAAGCCCTCTGTGAGGTTGGGCAGCAGTTGGCATGGCCCCTCCAGCTAAGAGAGGGTTGGAATGGCTCTCGTGCTAGTTGCCCAGCCTGGTTTCTTGGGCAAGGTCTGCTCCTCTCCCAGTGTCTTGCAGCACTCAATACAACCTGGCTCCTTGGCACAGAGCTGCTTTCAAGGCTGAGGATGAGGTATGACCATTTGATGTCTCTCCTGGGACTGYGCTGGCTTGGTCAGAGCCAGAGGGAGGTCAAATGACTTCAGGTCCCTCATACATCCTTGATGCTAACAGCACGCCAGCAGCTCATAAAGGGGTGACATGCTGTGTCCTGTGGGAGCAACACAGCATTACCTAGACCTGGCTTTGCAGGGAGAGCAGCCTGGCTGAGCCCTGAGATTTCTTTCTCATGATTTTACTTCTACTATCACTCTGGGACAGACCTCTCCTGGCAAATGAGAACGGACACACATGGCAGTGGGACTTGGAGACATGGCGCAGGCTCGTAGTCCCCTCAGGGAAGGCAGTATGCTTGTGGCCAGATGGATGGTCGCTCTGGGAGGCTGCAATAGTGGGAAAGGTGGTGCTGACCCAACGAWCCCCAGCTGAGCCACTGGCCATAATCCTGGGAATCTGCTGCTTGTCAGTGTCCCCACAATGTGTTTTCACTGCTGTTCTTTCTCCGGGTGCTGACAGGAAGTTTTTCAGATTGCAGTTTGACAATCCTGGGCTTTCTGTGGCTGTCATGACTTCAAGATCTCTTCTGCCTCTTGGGTCCTTCTGCCCTATGGGGCAGCAAGCTGTGCTACTCCCCACAGCCCCTCTCCAGGCACCCAAACAGTGCAGAAGAACTGAACACTGGCTCTGCTTTTTAAAAGTTCTGTTCTTAAGCCTGGATCAAAATCCTCTGGCCCAGCTCCCAGTGGGGCTGATCTGCAGGGTCTGTCTTGATAGACAACTTCATGGATTGAGATGGGAACACACTGGCCTTGGATTGGGGGCTGGAAAGATACCTGAAGCTCTGGAGTCGCAGAAAGCCAAGTGGAGGTCTCAGCTAGCCACCAGAGTGCCACAGGTTGTTTTTCCTCCTTCTCTGCTGTGTGTCTTGAACTGCTTCAGCTTGGGGATGTTACCTTGAGTGTATGGGGCTGCACATAAAAGCCTGGTGGCTGCAGGCAGTGTGTGGGGTATTCATTCCCCTCTGCAGGTATAGAGGTGTAGATGAGGGATTGCTGTAATTAGGATGTCTCAAAGTGACTACCTTCTCCTTTCCCAGGATGCTGTTTCAGTGGAAGCAGGGTGGGAAGAKGTGCGGAAATCAAGATCCATGGTCTTCCGCACACTCTGCCAGCTTCCACATCCAGGCTTCATTCTAGCCTCCGAGGTGGAGTGAGCACGGGAACTGCCATCCAGCTGAGCTTCTCCGAGTATTCACTGCTCTTTGCTTTTCCTCCAGGAAGGGTCTGGTTTCCTCATCCCAGGAGAATGGAGGTCCTGCAACTTCTACGCCTGCTCCTCACCGCCTGCATGCTGGGCCTCTCCCAGACAGTGAACCCGTTTGTGGCCCAGCAGACACTCCCGGACCCTTGCTACGACGAGAACGGAGCTGCACGCCGCTGCATCCCTGAGTTTGTCAACGCCGCCTTTGGAAAGGAGGTGCAGGCCTCCAGCACGTGCGGGAAGCCTCCCACCCGGCACTGCAATGCCTCGGATCCCCGCAAAGCCCACCCGCCAGCCTACCTCACCGACCTCAACACCGCCTCCAACATGACGTGCTGGCGCTCCGAGACCCTGCACCACTCGCCCCAGAACGTCACCCTCACCCTGTCCCTTGGCAAGAAGTTTGAGGTGGTCTACGTGAGTCTCCAGTTCTGCTCGCCCCGCCCTGAGTCCACCGCCATCTTCAAGTCCATGGATTACGGCAAGACGTGGGTGCCTTACCAGTACTACTCCTCCCAGTGCCGCAAGATCTACGGCAAGCCCAACAAAGCCACCGTCACCAAGCAGAACGAGCAGGAGGCCCTCTGCACCGATGGCCTCACTGACCTCTACCCCCTCACGGGGGGCCTCATCGCCTTCAGCACCCTTGATGGGCGGCCCTCCGCCCAGGACTTTGACAACAGCCCCGTGCTGCAGGACTGGGTGACAGCCACGGACATCCGCATTATTTTCAGCCGTCCCCATCTCTTCCGTGACCTGGGGAGTCGTGACAATGAGGAGGAGGATGGAGGCACTGGCTCATCACCCTACTACTACGCGGTGGGCGAGCTGCAGGTTGGCGGGCGCTGCAAGTGCAATGGGCACGCCTCCCGCTGTGTGAAGGACAAGGAGCAAAAGCTGGTGTGCGACTGCAAGCACAACACGGAGGGCCCCGAGTGTGACCGCTGCAAACCCTTCCACTACGACCGCCCCTGGCAGCGGGCCAATGCCAGGGAGGCCAAYGAGTGCCTTGGTAAGTGATTCGTCTCTCTCTCATTTTCTCCCTGCTAGCTGTAAGCCCTGAGATGACATGCAGAGGGACGGAGTGATGAGGCTGCGGCAAACTCATGAATTGTGCTTCTCTTGAGATGTTTTTCAAAGCACTGGTGGAATTCCTGGTGAGCTGAGGAAGGCTCGGGTGTTGGCACTGCCTCTTCTTTGGGATACCTCCTCTGTAGCTGCAGTGATTCAGTGACGAGCCAAAGCACCAAAACCCTCAAAAAATTACTGGCATTTTTTCAGCATGTCCACAAAGGCCAGGGTGGCATCAGCTGCGTTTGCAAAGGGGAGTTTCCCTGGGGTAGCAAGCTGACTCCCCCAAGGGCAAGGGAAGAATCACGGAGGTTCCACAGCGCGATGTTGTCTAGGTCAGGGATAAGGCAGTATGGCTTAAGAAAAAGCCAAGAGATTAAGGAAATATTTGAAATACCCTGCTTCAACATTTTATCATTCAAACTTGGTCTGGCACGGTGCTTTGCGTGTCCATTTTGACTTAATCTGTTACTAAAAAAAAAGTTTCTGTGAATTARACATGTTGTAATCTAAATGAAATATTTCAAAAGTATCCAAACAACATTGTTCAGTCACTGCACTTTGAAATGGCTTTTCCTCTGAGATTTTTTGTTGAAGCTTTTGCCTTTTATCCTAATCCATGCTAGGTGAGGGAATGCCAGGGACTCCTGAACTCCTGGGAGAGGGGAAAGCAACCCCTCGCCTCCTCCCGGACCAAAGCCTGGGTCCCAGAGGGTGGCAGGAGGATGGAGATGGGGAAACCGTGCCATTAATCAAGCCCTGAAAGGCTCTGCGGATRTGCCAGAGGTCAGGGGGACTTGTTAATATTTCTGATCGATGTCTTGTTGAGATCCCAGCTGTCGGCTTAAATATGTATTTTACAGTGGATTTCTTCTAGGAGGAGCAGCTATGTCGAAAGAAGGGAGTACACTGGTGCTCTAAAACACCGTGTGCCACATGGGAATGTGTCAGCCTGTTTACTTTCCCCCCTTGTCTTGGAGAGATATTAGGGTTTTGGAGCAAACCTCAGGATCAAAAACATAACAGCGCCAAAGGCTGCTGCTGCTCCGGTGTCCGTGGGAGAGGAGATGAGGACGGTTTGGGACGGGCAGATGGCTAATGGCACTGGAGGGGCAGCGGCAGGAGCGTGTGCTGTGTTGTGAGCCGGCGGAGGCCGCTGTGCTGTGACTCCATCCTGACTATTCCAGAGAGGGATCGCGCTCCGGGAGAGCTCCTCCACAGAGCCGGCACGTAGCGGCACGAGCACCCCGCGCGGGCCGGGCCAGGCGCGTGGCCACGCAGGCCGTCCCCACAGCAGCCCGCACGGCCCGGCGAGGTCACCCCCATGGCAGATGGGCCTGAAAAGAGGAACGCGAGAGAAAAGCGCCGCTGGGAGGAGGCGGGGGCCCCTCGGGACGCCTCGCCTCGCAGCGCACAAAGGCCCAGGCCGAGCTGCATGTGAAAGMGGCGCTGCCCGTGTGCAGTCGCTTYCCTTCTCTCTCCCTTTCCCCTCGGGGGCTTTGTGCCCTCCGCGAGGGGCCCTCAAAGAGCTCCTCCATCCCACACCTCCCACGCTCAGCAGCTRAAAGCGGGATTAGCCACCGTGCGCCCTCCCCTCCGCCTCTCCACAATGGCCGCTCCGTGCACCGCCCGGCAGGCGCAGCAATTAGCACCAATTAAAGGGAGAGGGCTGCCCGGCTGGGACTACCCTCCGCTCTGCTCCATGCAGCCAGCCTCTGCTGTCCCCTGCTCCGTCCCCCTTTGGGACCATTGCCTCTTGACTTGGTGCTCCAGCGGTCATGTCCCTCCCTTGACTCCTACAAAGGGCCTTGACTAATGCATCCCTTCCAGCAATAAGTGCTCTGGATGTCCTGAAAATATCCAGCCCACATTTTCCTGGGTGTGCCCCAGGGGCTCAGCTGGCCCAAGGTGTTAGAGGAGGAGAGAAGACTCCAGGCCTGGCCATGCATGTCAGGGAGTAGAGCCCTCCAGAACCCCTTTGGTTCTGCTTTTTTTTTTTTTTTTTTTTTTTTTTTTTTTTTTTTTTT